GGCCGAGTCCAACAAGCCCATGTTGTACAAGGACCAGTCAATGGCGTGCCTTTTAAAATAGCAACGGACGCCGCCGACTTAGCCCTAGAAGGAGTATTATATCAGGTTATAGATAACAAACCGAGATATATACAATTCTTTAGTCGAGCAATGAATGCTTCACAGTTGAATTATCCAACTGTTAAACAAGAGCTATTAGCCATAGTGGCAGCTCTAACACACTTCCGAGATTACTTATACGGAACAGCATTTACGCTGATGTGTGATCAGAAATTTCTTCAATATATGAAAGAGATGAAACCCGACTCACAATTACTGAGTCGCTGGCATAATACAATATCAGAGTTTCATTTTGATATAAAACATCTGCCAGGAATACATAACTATCTACCGGATATGTTATCACGCTTCGTACCGGACTTTAATAAATCCGTACGTGAGTTACTAGCCACTGACTGGAAATGTAACCCCAGGTGGTTTGAACTGGCTCAAAAGATATTTGGGCCACACACCATAGATATGTTTACTGCACATCATATTGCACAACTATCGAATTACAGGACTCTAAATCATCCTTTGGGAGACGCCTTTCAAATAGACCTCTCCAAACATAATGCGTGGGCTAATCCACCATGGCACCTAATTACCCAGCTATTAAATTATGTTCATATACATAAATCTACCATCACGTTGTGTTGCCCATTACGGAGTAAAGATCCATGGCTCAATAAATTAATAAGAAATATACAATGCGAGCCAATATATTTAAATAGGGAAGTAGATACTTTCCTATATCAGGGTACCCGAGACGTCCAGAAGACGCTCTGGAGACATACTATAATATGTCGTATAGGTCCCATTGGAACAATCAAATGGACCCCTTCTGAGACCTTCCTTAACAAGGTCAAAGAATTAGATATTCCACTCTCTATCCAATTGAACGTTAAGCAGTTCAAAGGCAACACAGCACTTGAAGTCTGTGCACAAGAAATGCAATCTACGAATGACACAACTGTTAAAAAGCGTCATTCTCTAGCTAGGACTCTGTTTAACAACACAAAGTCCCAAGCCTGAGGTCTTTCAAACCCTATTTTTAACGGGATTAATGAAAGATAACCCTGAAGCATATACACATATAATGCGACTATTAAATAAGTCAGGTGTATCAAACGCACACGAGCGCACTCATGACACTCATGCGAAAGAAGGACAGGAGTCTGGAAACACTACAGACTTAGAGACCACGCAAGTGGATTCTCAACACCCTACCTTTATTCTGGAAGAGCAGAATGATGAAAACATTCTTGCTTGGCTGACGCAAACCCATAAGCTGAAGCACCAGAACGTAGTAGACGCACTTAAAGATGCTAAGCGAAATGGGATCGCTCACGCTAAGCTGGCAACTTTAGTTGACAGAGTATATCAGTCATGTACAGACTGTGATCTCAATCAGATCAAGCGCTATGGGTTCAAGATGTTCCATGGCGCAGGGTCATCATTGATCTGGTTGACCTGCCCACGTCCGAGCACACAGGCGACCGTTATGTATGCCATTTCTTTGATGTGGCGTCACGGTTTAACTTGCTCTATCCAATATAGGATAAAAGAATACACGCTTTATAGACGGTACAATCGCTGAGTTGACTTCAGATGCTTTCGATAATCAAGACTATTTAAAAGCCTTTAATCGAAAATGATGTAAACGCCTGCATAAGTCACAAGCTGAAAAGGATAGCATGTTTCCATCGTCTGAAGGCACGGAAGTTAAAACATATCCACCTACAGCATTTATCCCGAGCTTTAATGCTCACCTTTCATATGTGCTTAAGACACTGGAGCGTAAGAAACGTCCAGTCGACCACCCCAGACCTACTGGACCGAAGCTCAAAACTCACAGGGTAACCGAGAACGCTTAACTTCTCCGACTGAGAAACATTAACTATATGTTATGCTACTTAAAGTTTTCGACCCGTTTTTTCTTTCTCGCTTTTTGACCCATAATCAGCTTGAGTGTTCAACTTGCTTCTCCTGGATCTCACAACTGGGTGGGGCCTGTGTAATAGCCGGACCTTCACATTATAATTTATGTTATAAACGTACTCTTTAGCAGTACGTAATCTATAAACGTACTCTTAATAGTACAAGGAATTTAAGTTTTCCTAAATGGTTTTAATGGTTTTATTAATGAATACCTTTTTCATTTTACATATCAGATATTTGGACAAGGCCATTAAAAGGCCCCAGTAAAATACCAAACATAAGATTTGGTCTAGTTCTATTAATAGAACTATATTTACTTTCCAAATTTATTTATATCTGAATACTTCGGTAGCGAGATGGCTTAACCGAATATAGGTTTCTAGGGACTATTAACGTTACCTAGTTTAACTTCTGATCAGCCAACCAGATGTGCCAGTCTGATGAAGACTAAGTCGGTAATTCTTAATAAGCTTTAAGTTATTGGTTAATGCAATAACTAAGGACATCAAGAGTATTTTTTTCTTTTTTCTTTTTTCTTTTCTTCTAAAGATAGGATTTTATGAGTCTCTCGGATTCGCCCCAATGAAACATACCACAGGTTCTAATAGAGCGACAACGAAACACTAAATAAAATCCCTTCGGCGAAAACAGTACTGAGAGGATTATATATAGGCAATGTCTCAGCCTCACAATCGCTCCGAGTATTACTGTGTTCACGAGGCATACCTAACTTTACTAAAAGACTCATTTCATTTACTTACTTTAAAATTATCTCGATACTTAGATTTTACCTAAGCATTTAATTACTCTCAGGCGTTAATATCGCCTTGATAGACCAAATCTTACATTTGCGAGCCATAACATATTTAGAGTGGATGATTTTGGTGCCTGCCGGGACGTCAGAAAAAGGTATAATGTCCGCAAAGTCATTTCATTGATGAGCGGCGTATTCCATGTCGATGGTCTTCTTCCAAAGGGGCCAGTCGGGGGCCTGCATGGCCTTCGCTATATTCTTGGGAACTGTAGAGTCCATGAGGGACATCGTTTCGAAGATAGTAATGTCGGCGCGAGTAGAGGGCTGTACGGATTTAGCCTGGGGAGGACGGGAGCTAGAGCGACTGGAGCGGATGGCTTCAAAATCAGCACGTGATTCCGGGAGGATGTTCTGGCCACGGGGCTTGCCTGCTTCGGCCTAAACGTGGAGGGATGACAGGTCATCATTAGGAGTGGCAAAGGAGAAATTTGAGTCAGATGATAGATCGTCAAAAGTATTCAACGTGTCTTGCGCTCTGTTGGAGCCAGAGGAAGAATATACAGGTGGGGATGGGGGCGAGAGCGCGGACGGAGAGGGAATGGTGTCGGGGAAAGAGTGAAAAATAGGGGCTGGTGGGGAAGAGGTCTGGGGCTAGAAAGATGCCGGCGGCGAGGGTGGAGCCTGAGGAGTGGGAGGGGAAGCAGAGACGAATGGGACCTGAAGTGGAGTGATACGTTGGAGGGGATCGAACCAATTTGTCGGGATGATATACGAGTGAGGGTTTTAGGGTAGCCCGTTTGCTATCGGGCGATCATTGAGGTCGACTGGTGGGAAGAAAACTGATATTGCGTGTGTCATGCTGGCGTTGGGTGCGTAGACTCTGGATGCGCCAGGTATCGAGGATGCTAGTCTTCGATCGACCTAACAGAACTCCGTAACCGCCCTGAGTTTCGAACTTATGACTAGCCTTTTGTGTTGGGCCTTCAATTTTAAAGATGACAAGACAACCAAAACGAGTGTCAACAGGTCGAAGGTGCCAGATATCGCTAGGGGAGTACGTGCGGTTTTTTGGCGACAAGGGTATCATTTTGGATCATATCAGCCCATCTTTTAGCGCTGCTCCAAAGCTGATAAGGCATCCCGGCTTCTAAGAGAAGGGAGCGGGCCGGCTTATTTGAGGTGGCGTGTGCTCTTTCAACGGTACCATTGAGTTGAGGCGTGTACGGGGGGGGATGTCTGGAGAAGAATGCGACGTGAGACGAGCATGGATTCTGTAGTCTTAGAGACGAACGTGGAATCGCCGTCGGCGACGAGCGTATGTGGCTTCCAATGCCGCGGGACGTGGATAAATAGCTTATGTAGGTGCTGATCCATGTCAATCTTGTCGGGAAGGTTGGCGCGAATGCCAAATTTACTACCCTGATCGATGAGATTAAGAGTATAACAATTTCCGTAACGATCTGCCGGAAGGGATCCTTGGAGGCCGACGTAAAACAGTTAACCTGGGCCGGTGTGGGCGAGAGAGAATGAGACGGCCGAGTGGAGAGGGCCTAGGACAGTTACGAGAGAGTAACCCCAGGATGGCTTACCGACTGTGTGTGTCCCATGACGCAAGATTACGGGAGATAAATGTCGGCCACCAGGTGACACGGGGACAAAGTGGGACAAGGACAGCGCAGGTGGTGCCGGTGGTCACAATTTTGTCGAGGAATTCTTGTGTGTCAGACCAAATATTGTTGCCGTAGGCACGTTCGGCCAGGAGAGGGGCCTTGCGCCAACAGGTAGAGGTACCGCCCCCATTGGGGCTGCAAAACTGGTGGGGTTGTAGTTAAGGAATGTCATGGCTGTAGTAAATTCGTGCTTATTGATCATCCACTCTTCTGTCTTGACACCTGCGGGAGGCTCATTGGTGGGCGTGATTCCTTCCTTTGACGCCATTTTCAATGTGGTAGAGCGACTCAAATGGCCGATGTTGCGATGATACTCGTCATAGGTGCAACAATAGGAGGGCCAGAGACATGAACCGGAAGGGTTGGGAGTGGCAACAAAGGGAAAGGGGAGTAAACATAGAAGAGTGAAGAGTGCCAACCGGGGAAGGGGAGGTGGCAGGAGAAGTGTGTGATGTCTGAGGGGGAGGGGCAACTGTCGTAGGAGGTGCAACCTGAGGAGATGTAGAGGCGCAAAATGCTGGAGAAGAAGTTGCAAGGTGCGTGATGTCCGCCTATGATATCCGGTAGCCTCTTTGAGTGCGAGGGATCGTGAGAGAATTTTGGCCATGAGATAGGATACAGTTAGTCTGCCGGGCTGGGACAGTGAGAGCATAGCCAGTGTCCTGCAACATGTCTTGAGAAACAAGCTGTTGTTGGACAATGGGACTGAGATAGGTTCTGCCGAGTGGGGGTAGGTCGCCACATTCAGTGATAATACGCTGTGTATCGTCAGCGAGGAGAAAGGGAAAAGATCATATCTCGATGTTCATAAGTAACTGCCTGGCGGAGGAGTGGGGGAGATTTACTCCCGCATCAACATCTATTAGGGGCAGCCTTGTGAACACTGTCTAAGCGTGGAGTAGAAGAATAGGGGAAATTCGCTTCATTTGTTCTACGAGAGCACACATCTTGGACGTAAGACGTGCGTTTACAAATAGTACAGTGACGTCATGCTATCTTACCATCGATACCGGTGTGGGTTTTACTGCAGGTCTTGGTACAGGCAGAGGAGCGATGGCCGCTTTGGAAACACACAAAGCAGGGGGTCGGAGGACGAGGGGAGTTGCGAGAGGCTCCCATGGCGTCGAGACGTTTAGTGAGGCCTTGGATTATAGATTCAACAGACTGAGGGGACTTCATAGCAGATGTTGTGGATGCCGCAGCAACCATAGGGAACGGAGCGTCGTGTACCCCGGGGGCGACCTTATTCCAGCGTTCCAGGCGTTCACAAAGTAAGAGGGGGGAGATATCATCACGGTTGGGGACATCATGAAAGTATTGGCGAACGGCGTCCTTATCTGCTGCACTGAGTCCGGAGATGCGCATGTTTTGAACAAAAACAGCGAGAAAAATCGTGTTTTGTTTGGAGGCCATGGTAGCAATTGAGGTGACACTCTTGCACCAGGTGCGAAGTGTGTCATCGTCGGTGCGGGAGAAGGATTTCAGAAAGTCGAACGAGATGGAATTGTTGATGGTGATGGAGTTGTGCTCGAAGGCACGACGAAGGTAGATGAGTAGAGCCCAGGGGTCTTCCGAGAGTCTTTGGCGGTGAGAGAATCCAAAACGTCTTCAGAAAGTGATCGGAGTAGGAGGGACTTGGCCAAAAGATAGGTACCCTTTGTCTTGGTTTCTCGGCGAAAACGAATGATGCCTTCGATCTTAGCAGTATCAGCAGCGGGCGTACGTTGATGAATTGGAGTGCTAAGTTGTTTGGCAAGAATTTCTAGTTTGATGTGTTTGTAACGTAGAACACCTTCAATGTCGTCCTTGTATTCTGTATTGGCGGCGGCAATGAGATGTGCCCACCACTTGTCATAGTTCGATCCAACGTAAAGAAGTTTGGACCATCGGATTTTACGGCTCTCGCCTGAGATTGAGTCGGACATAGCAAATATAATGAAGTTGGTACAACTTTATCAAAAGATAATGCCCACAACCTATAGAGACCAATAAAAGCTCTATTCCTGAGAGACTGTTTTATTAATTGAATATTACTTAACATTCTATGTCAGTAAAACTGGACTAGTGTCGATTTATCCGGAGTCCCAAATGGGCTGAAGAGTAAAAATCATGTGTTAATAATAGAGTAATGTGAATGTGAGGACCAGTTCACTTCTACCGGATGGCTTCTAAGATAGTAGAGCAACTTTAGTGCTCAATACTTAGCCCTCTAAATTATACAAATCCTTTTTTATTTTTTATTGTTTTAAAACAAAAACCCAAATTTAAAAAAAAATCCGTAGCCCTCTCAAAAAGACAAAGATTTAAAATATAAAACAAAAGTACATATATGTCAATTTAAAAATCGACGGCTATGTGTATTTACATATTTCCATAGCCTTCTAAGAAAAGGCATTGGTGGTGGGAAATCGGGGGGTACTGTTTGTGGGGCTCTGGGAAATTTAATTTCCGTCAGGATTTCCCACAATTTTCGAGCCTTCATAAATCACTCTGCAGGTCCTATCCCCAAAACCCTTTTTTTTTTCCAAATAGGAATTTCCAAAACGTTATCGAAATCGTTACCTAGAATTCTCGAACGTTTATTATAGAGATTATTTTTACAAAAGCAAAAAATAAATAAATAATAATATAAAATAAAATATGTTATTTAGAACTTCATCCACAACAACTAACAACAACAACATCTACAACGAAAATCTCCGCGTGGAACCATTTGTATGTAAAATAATATAGAATTCGATAATATAGATAGGCATGTCATCTGAAAAATGCATGGTGGTTGATTGCGCCAACTTTCGTTCTGCAGACTACCCGTGATGTAAATAGTGCAACACAGGGTGGGAGCGTAACAGGAAGAAAGTAATGCGAGCGAAAAACAAAGCGGCACGTGAAGAGATAAGAGCGCCGATCTCTATCTGCCAAGGAAACAAAATGTGGTCAACCCATAACTGATATATCAAGTAAATATTGCGAAAATCATAGTCGCAGACATAGACAGCTCATAGACGGAAGCGATATGCTGAAGCCCTCGAGAATGCCTCTCGAACAACCCAGGGCTACCGACTTATTATATACACACGCACAAAGACGGTTTGAGAACAGCATACTGTTTATCACGATGTGTGGTAGGCAGCTTCATGATGGAATATGCAACAAGGAACAACGAAATCTGCAGCATGTGGAGCGTGACCGTGACATATCAAGGAGTGACAGATATAGTAAGTATTCAGGCAAAAACGTGTTACTTTGTTTGTGTGCATATGGTGTTGTCATTTTAGCTTTGTATAGAACTTCTAATATATATCTCAATATTTATGCTTGTGCAGTACCCAAACGAGCTTGTGCTGAGAATAGAGGATGGACATATGTGAACGGATATATATGGAGTAGAAGATGCATCAGTACTGCGTGCAAACTTGTAGGTACATTTTCATACTGGAAGCGGCATTTACAGTTGGCGCTCGGCCCGGCAGTGTACGAATCAACTATATCCTGTGTGAGATATTGCTTACCCTGCTGATTTTGAGGTCTATGTGAGTATGTTGGAATTCTCTTAGACCCAAAGGTTGACGTACTTTGTGGTGACTTCGTCATGGCCGTACAGATTGAGAACAGAGAACTATACATTGACAGCAACGACAGCAGACAGAGTGTTGGCCGATATACTAATACTACGAGAGAAGATTTTCGACAAATGCCAAGTACGTTGCACTCTAAATTGAAGGCAAGATAAGGGTCTTGATCGAGTCCACTTCCTATGTCCACAGATCTCAAGAGATTCTTGTACCATATGGTAGTGAATATATTTCAAAGGGCACTGACTCACTACGCTACAAAGCCCTGAAACAGACCAATAAAAGCAATCTTTGTTAGAAGGGTTAACATTAAAAACATACATACATACTTACATACATACATACACATACACATACACATACATACAAACAAATCTATATACATACACACATATACATATACATACATACA